AAAGAAAATTTCATTTTTTGACTTAGAAAGCCACATATTGTATTTACTTTTTTAAAAGTTATTGGCAACTACAATCAAAATTTAATGGAAAAGGAGTTGATCAGGTATTAATAGAAACAGAAGTGTACAGCACCCTTTAACAGATTCTAGATGGGAAACATAAAATTATTATAGTAAAACTCATGATTTTAACTCTCCCAAAAACTAACCGTTAGTTTTACAAAGCTTATTTTTCGCAATTTTATGTTTATGCATTCTAGCGTTTTGACAAGAACATTGGAAACATGATCTTTTGTCGCTCGATGCAATGATCTTCTACTACTTTGCAAATGATCAATATAACTATTTTGGTTATGTGCAATCGTTTTATGCATCAGTGCTACAGCGACTGCTCTGTAAAAAGTAAACATTATTTCGTAGAAATACCTATAAAAAAACTACTTCTTAAACTAGTCAGGCATTCTTTTCCGCAATTTTGTCAAGGCAGTTCTATAGGGGAAATGGCGATCGGGGCAATTGCCCCCTCCTTCTTAGAAGTTTTAGAATATTTTGAAAACGGAAGTAATATAATTAAGCTGTCTAAATAAAATTACAATTTTAATAAAATTACTTTGAATATATTTTTCAAAGATTTAAAAGGATTTTGAATGCAATCAAAATTTTTAATTAAATAAATTTTATCCATTCTATTTATCTTACTAGGTAATATGATTAAAACCGTCAACATAGTATTTTCCAGGGGTGTTATAATCTCATTATAAATTGTAGTTTTGAAATAGTGTTTTGATTTACCTATAAGAATGTTGACTTATTTTTCAATGCAAATTTAAAAACACATGTACCATTTTAACTATTTTTAATTCTACTTTATTGCTGAGAAATGTATTATGTAGTGTTAATTTCCTAAATTAACCCTCGGTTTTTTTTAAATCTATAATACCCTATATTTCATCAAGTACAAATTTTCATTATGTTTTTTATACGATTTTGATAGCTTATTTAATCCTATTCCTATTGGTAAATAAATATTTTTATAAATATCGAAAAAATATTTTGTTGCTATGGAGTGCAATTACATCATATCACATGAGGCAAAACATGAAAACTGAGTGACACCTGTCATTATTTAAATCCTTGTCATACAAAGATCTCAAATCAATAAAAAGCTTGTAACACGTTTGTGCACACGAAGGCTTTTTTGAAACATAACGGTCTGCACTATGAGTGCAATAATACAAAGAATAACTTTCGCCTCTTTTTAACCTTATTCAAACAAAGATTCAAAGTTCCTTACCGAAAAGAATTTATACCAATTGTAGTCTATATTTTGTCACTATCAAATCAATGAAACAACACAAATAAGTTCGCTAAAGTATAGGGTTATCAAATAAGATTCAAAAAGTTAAAACTCATTGCCTAGTTGCTCAAGGTTTATCTGAACTTAGGTGCATCTTTTTAAATTAAGACAAAGAAAAAATTAAGTGGTATGATGAAGACAATGTTGATACCTCTGACCTCAACTGGCCTTCAATTGAAGAAGAGGGAACTCCAATACTTGAAAATTTAGGTCTTAAACATGTCAATTGTATTTTTTAAAACATGACCTGTTACAATTAATAAAACACTTGTAAAAATTCAAAATTTTTGTCTTTGTCACATCACAAAGGGGTGGGGGGAGTAAGTTCTTTAAAATACTACAAAATTTCACATAGGGGAGGTGGGTCTCTAAAAAAGCCTAAAAAATTGCCATGTATTATTTGAACAGCCCCTAGGACTGTAAGTACTTCTTAGGGCACATAAAAAAAAATTTAATGACATAATTTTTGTTTTAAATTGTTATTTTTGCAGTTGCCAAGTTAAGAAAAAAAAAAGTGTTTTGTTTACAATGGAGTGTCAATTAGGAATTGATGTAATAATCTATTGCGGCATATTTTAATGTATTAAATAGAACAAATTTGCTGGAAATAAAAATATTTTAAACAGTATCTTCAACAATAAAAAATAAGGCAATAGAATAGTTATTAAACAAAGGAAAACAAACACACAAAAAGCAGCGACTGTTACACTCCAACAATTTGTGATTCAAAGGACTGTGAATTAGTGGGGGCCTCAAACAATTCACCTGAAGCTGAGCTAAATTAAATTTAGAGTAATTCAGAGTCAGAAGGAGAAACTTTATCCAACACGGGAGAATGTTACTCGACCTGATTTAATAATAATTAATGCTGACCTCTCTTTGTGTCCAGTTGTTTTGAGTCAAAAAGATGAAGATGTAATAGTTTTAAAGAGGCCCATTTCACATTCTTAGAAACAACGAGATTATCTCTGTGATTCTAAGAATCATTCAAAGATTTCTTCAAAGATTCTTTGAATACGTTTTATCAATCTTTGCCTAATAGGGAAAATGTAGAAAAAGATTTTTTAATTTGGAGCTCGACCACAAAGATTTTCTGCTGTTTCCCTTACTCTTGCTCTGGCATGAAAGCAGTATTCAAAAGCGAGGAAATTATCCCTTCTCTGTTGCAACAGAGGATCAATGAAGGAAACTCATAGATCGTGTAAAGCAGCATCAATACAGCCAGTTACACCAAAAGTTATACATGGATTGGAAAGTGTGACTTTTTTCTTGTATTTTTACTAGGTATCTTATTATGAGGTTCTCTAATTATCAATTTTATTTAAATAATTATTTTAATAATTTAATTATAATTATGATATACAATTATGGTGAAACAATACACATGAATGGAAAAGGAAATGGAAATTTTCTTGCCGGAATGGAACTTATTGGTTTCCACAACCCCGTCATTGAATCCCACTTGGGTGACGCTATTAACAAGAGGGCTCCAGAATGAGTGTTCATTACCTCTCTCCGTCTTCTTAAAATGAGTTCATCAGTAAATGTAGTGGTGTCATCGGAAGTGCAACTGTCGAGGAAATCCAGGTTGGTATCTGATTGATGGTACCCCCGATACATTTCACACTGAGCAGATTACCTTATAAGATATTCGTTTTCTCCTCTATGGAAAAAATCGGTGGCAAATCAACGATTCTTGTATGTTGAAGCTTTTGAGAAGAAGAAAGCAGTCGATATAGCTAAGCTTGTCACTGATGAGATTCCAAAGCTAGGATTCGCGGTCAGGGATACAATAATGGATCCAATATGTCAGGTACTTACAAGAGAGCTCAAGCCTTAAAAAAACAAAAGTATTTAGAAGCTCTGTACGTCCTCTGTAGCGCTCACAGTCAGAATTTGGTTGGTACGCGCCCAGTTGAATCAGCCATTGAGATCAAAGTAATCTTTGGAATTGTCAAATCTTTGTATGTGCAAGTCCTGCCCGATGGAAAATCCTCGATGAAACGACAGGAATCTCACTGCATAGACTTTCTATGACAAGATGGAGCTCTCATACCGACACGATCAAACCATTTGCCAAGAGGCCGAGAGAAATGTTGGTAGCTCTTAAATATGCCATGGAAAACCTGGATCTGACCAGTGAATCAGCCAAACAAGAGCCTTAAAAAGATGGTTATTATCTTTTAAATTTATATCGCTAATTACAATTTGGTACAAAACCTTTACAATGTTAACAATGTTAGTTGTCTTCTACAACCTGAAGCCATCACCATCGATGAAAAGCTACGTTTGATTAGACAGCTGCTGGAAGATAATTAATTGGATAAGGAGCTTTTGGTTGCGAATTTTCTAAGAGGCTGTAGCTGTAGCTAGACCACTAGGATTCGAAACTGAACTCGCAATTTAATAAAAGTTTAAACTGAAATACTTTACTATGAGGCATCAAACACAGCCCATTTCTACGACGAGCTTAACGAAAGAATTGGAATTGAACGTTTTTAATATAGATTTAGATAGCCTGATCTAACAGTTTGATTTGAGATTTGAGCGAGCAGGATGGTTGGCTATATGTTTTCATTTATCTGGTTGGATAATGATGATCTTTCCGTTCAAAATAAAGCGATCTTGCACAGTTCACAGTTTTATCACAGTTTTTTGCACAGTTTTATCCGAGAGATGTGAGCGATCTTGCACAGTTCGAGAGATGTGAGCAAAGAAGATCTCATTGAAAAAGTTTGCCGTTTTAAAAATGCTCGCAAAACAATTTTCAAGCAAGAAATTCCACTTAAGCTACTAAACCAAATCTTAGAGAAAAAGTTTGAAAGCCTTTTTCCATACATTTACATCATGATCCGGATTTTCAACACTATTCCTGTGTCAGTAGCTTAGGGTGAACGATCGTTTAGTAAACTAAAGATTTTAAAAAAATTCTCCGTTCGACCATGGACCAGACTCGCGTTACTGATCTTTTAATTATTTCAATTTGGCTAAAAAGGTGAGCTACGACGATGACACCGATATTTAGGCTGCCAGAAAAGCTTGAGAATTTAAATTAAAGGCGCCTTATCTTTTTAAAAAATTTTGTTGATTGACTTTTCGTTTATTGGTTTTAAAACAAATATTTTGATTCGTATATCAGTTTTGATAAATGAACTGTTTCTCAATTAAGCGAATTTTTACGCAGGAATACAATGTGTTGTATCAGAAAACACTTCGTCACAAAATCATTTGCAAAAAATAAAAAAAAAAGTGGAAAAACTAAGTGTGAAAAAAGTCTCACAGAAGGTGAGTTAAAAAAGTCTCACAGAAGGTGGTTAAAATTTGTAATTTTTTGGCTTGAAATAAGGGCGCCGTTCTCCATTTTTGACCCGGGCACCATTGACGCTCTCGAAAGCCCTGTGTATGCACAACACCTAAAATATGAACAAATAGTTTGCGTTTACTTATTTAGTTTTTTAAACTTTCTTATTATAGATTGCAAAACATCATTTCGCTTCTTTCGAAAGTCCTTCCTATCTCTGTTACTCTACATTTACCTTCTAACTATGTCTACTTTGCTTTATTCTTCTAAATGCACAGATTAAAATATGAAGAAAAATTAAATTATAATTAAATTAAAAAAATATATATAAAATATTTTTAGCTATACGAAATGAAATGACCGCCGTAAAAAAGCTGCTTGAAGAACAAAAGAAACGTGAAAAAATTATTTATTCGAAATTATTTAACTGCTAATAAGTCGTAAAAAAGCTGCTTGAAGAACAAAAGAAACAGGACATGATAGTCGTGAAAGCTGCTTGAAGAGCAAAAGAAACAGGAGAAAATTATATATTCAATATTATTTAACAGCTAATGTGGTACTACGAAATAAAAAATAAAAAAGTTTGGGTATGGTATATACAAGAAATGTAATTTGTTTTACAAGTTATAATATTGTGAAAGATTTTAGTAATTACTTTAGTTTTCATAGACAGTCTTTATTTAATCTTATTTAAATTTTTACTTATATTTCATATTTATTCAGCAAAGGTTTATCAATTCTGTTACGATAATTGTTTTGGTAAAATAACAAATACTTTTTTTGGTAATTTCAGGCATGAAAATGTGTTTGAGATAACTTTCAGGCAGTGACCATGAACCATGAGAAAGCAAAAAATTGTAGTAATTTGAGCCTGTGAATAAAACACCTCAAAACTTTTGCCTTATAGCAAAAACACCAGTAAAACCTGTTTCAATGATCATAAAAGCGAATTTGATTGTTGTTCTTTGTTGTCATTTTTTTTGCTAAATAGCATTTTTTTTCTGGTCATAAAAGTAAAAAAAAAGTTCTTACCACTAGTTCTAAGAATTGTGCTTATGGTTGCGAACCCAATGAAAATGTACTTAAACATATACCCCACCTTAAGCTTAAGAAGATGTTTTGAGTTTGTAACTTTAACCCTAGTCGTACTGGGTCGTTGAGGTCAAGTTTATACTGGGTCGCGTTCCTGAAGCGCAAAGCCTGTATCTTGGGAACGGGAAGGATTGAACCTAAAACTTTGAATACTTTTAAAGTACCTAAATTAAATTATATTTAGCTATTTTTGTGTTAACTATTAATGATTTTTTCATTGAGAGAAAGTCACTGAAGTCACTTTTCAGGGATGGGTATTACTGCATAGTTGGCTTTATTAAACACACTATCTATTGAATGAACTTTTCGTTCGTCAGTAATTGCTCAGGATTTTTATCTCAACATCCCACTGTCTTCAATGTCGCTGTCTCGACATCCTCATTGTCTTCAATGTTGCTGTCGTTATTAAATACATTTTCAAAATTTATTTTAAAGAAGGAATTTTTAAAAATAAAAGACTTTTTCACATAAATGCAAGATTTATTAAAATTTTGTATACCTGATTCTCTATCCAATTTAACCCAAATCATTGCTTTTATCATCAGAATTCTTAACCAAGTTAAGAATATTTGCTTTAGCATCTTCTGCGAAATACAAGTTCGTTTGCTCATATTTTATAAATAAATTTTTTTATTGTAATTATTTTCTTTTATTCTTGAACATAACATAAATATTGCAGTAAAAAAATGTGTTCAAGAAGCTGTAAAGTTTAGTTATAATCAAAAAAGTTGCTGCAAAGTGAAGTTTTCAAAAATTTATGTTGGAGGTTGTCGTCGATAAAATTGCGATATGCTGTGAGACCCCTTCAGTCACGCGTTAAAATTGGAAATAGTGAGGTATAGTATAATAAGAGGAAAAGTTAAGTGATTTAAATTCATGTCTTCAAGACGCAACCTTGTATGAGTAGGGTTAAGTAAAAACGATTACAAATTTTTTTGTGCGTTATTACTAGTTAGGTAACTTTGTTTTTTTGTTTTTTAATTCACATTTTTGTTTTTTAATTCACACTCTAAAAGTAATACTAACGAAATATGCCGAAAAAGATATTTTTGGAGGTAATTCTAGACACATGTAGATGTCTATTGCAAGTAATTTTGAAATCTTTTGAAACCTTCTGTGAGACTTTTTTCACACTTAGTTTTTCCACTTTTTTTTTTATTTTTTGCAAATGGTAGGCAGGACCGCCGAGAGACGTCACGCCGATGAAGGACCTATATTTCAGATGAAGAACCCTTTTTTTTTTAGGTACTTTCTTTTCATTTGGCTTTGCATATCTGCCGCCCGGGATAAACTGTTTTTTCGCCCCCTCCCCTTTCTTCCACTACCCACTTCTCCCCTCCCCCTCCCTACCCCTCATCCTCTCGGCGGCACTGATGGTAGAGAATAAACAAAAAAAAAAATCATTAAATTATAATCGGTCCTTAGGCCTTAGAAATTTAAATGTATTTTTATTGAAAACTACTAAAAATTCACAAAACTTGAATAACTTTTAAAGATTAAAAAGCAGCTACAAAACTCTTAAAATTTTATTTTCACATTTTGTTTTCTCTAAGTTTATGACAAATATTGTTTAATGCGTCACACATAATAACATCAGCAATGACAAACAAAATCATTCTCAAACAGTTCTGGAGTTATTCCTAAGACTTTTTACTGCTATAATCATCTAGATGTATAATATCTCTTTTGTATCTCTCCTAATGAGTTTTGAAGTTTGAATGTAGAGCTTCTGTTGCTTGTTCACTAAACAGACCAAGTCCTGTCTTTTTGATTTTGATGAATTGTGTGATACGTGGTAAAAAAAAGAGCATGTACTTTTGGTGTGATGGAAATTGGAGGTTTGATGTAGCTGTTTCTGACCTTCAAATTTTTTGATTCAAAGTCTGAAAACTCTAACAGTGGTAGATGCGCCACGTTTTGGAAGACTTTTGGTTTTATTCAAATTGGCACCTGAGCTGGCAAACTCTTTATGCTTGCTTCTTATACAACCAAAAATTTGATTATTACTTCCTCATCCCATTGTTGGAAAGACCTGTATTTTGCTAAACTTGCAATATGTTTTGGTTTGGCAGAGGTTTGTGGAGCTGAATATCCTGTTGAAAAAGAACAACTTTTAACCAACAGCCAATATTAGACAAAATCTTTTAATGCCAATGTTAATATGTTTATCTCTTCTTAATGGTAAAGATTTTCCTCTTGTCTGATTAAGTTGAATTTTACCATTTAGAGTACCATTTAGAGAATGATTCTTTACCATTAAGTACCATTTAGAGAATAACTTTTGCCTGCCACAACATTGAAGTCACTTGCTCAGCTACAATAGGATCAGATTTAGCCATTATTCTTATTTCATGGCAAGTTCCAGGAGTTCACTGATGTTGAAGGCTCTTACCAAGAACTGACAAGCATTTGACACAACGCTTCTCAACTATCTCATCAGGTTTATCTCATCAGTTTGCTATTTTCACAAATTATGCAGTCACCTGTTGTAGTCAGTCTTGTTGGTGGCATAATTAAAATTGATTCAAAATTAAAAAGCTGAGGAACAGTCTTTGTCTGTCCTCTTTCCAGTTTCCCAAGTTGAATTCTACCATTGTCACATATTTTTAAAGGAACTCTGTCATTTTTGAAGTTAATATCTTTTTGAAGAACTTGTTTAAGTTTTGTCATGAGGCTTTCTGTATATTTTCTGTCAGCATGATATGCAAATGATACAAACAGTTCTTCTGCCATTTTCGAGTGTTTTTGCTGAATTTAGAATTCTGATTTTGCATAAAATAAAAAGGTTTTGCAAAGAGTTATTACTCATTTGAAGTTGATAGCTTTGTGAGACAAAGATTTCAACTTCATTTTTATAAAAAAATTAACCAAAAGGCTAAAATTTAAAAAAAAATGGAAAAAACTAAAAGGTGAAAAAGTCTCACGAAGGGTTTGGAAAAAATTTCAAAATCACTTGCAATCGACATTTTCATGTATTTAGAATTACCTCCCAAGATATCTTTTTCCGGGTATTTCGTTTGTATTACATTCAGAATTTTCAAACTGTGAATAAATTGAAATTGCTTGTTTTGTTTCTAATTAAGTAACTTTGTATTTTTGTTTTGCTCGTAAGTTAAGAAATGTTAATTTTGTTTTGTTTGTTTTGTTATTTTTATAATTTATTATTAAATTATGCTTACTAAAGCTACAAATCAATAGCAAAAAAGGTAAGTATTTAATTTCACTAACAAAGTTGATTTAATTCAAATCTTATGGTAGAAGAAAGGAGTTTTAAGGAGGAGAAGAATGTTTTAAAAAAAAAAACAAATTTAAAAAAACATTTTTTGAGTTTAATCATGTCAATTACTTTATTAAATAAAATAATAAGTTAGTTACTAAATACAAGGATCGTTTCCACATTTACCATGATGGTAGATTACTCAAAAAATAGAAATGCATTGGAAATGAGTTTTTGTAGCCGTTAATGTATGAGTTTTTGTAGCCGTTAACCTTCAAGGGTTAGTTTAAAATTATTTTCACATCAAAGTTAATATTTAAATCAATAATGTACTTAATTTGTACAAACTTTTAAAGCGCAGTTTTACATTCTTATCGTAAGTGTTTCACATTTATCGTATATATTCTTGACACTTATCGCGTATCTTAAAATCTGCTTTAGTGTCTGGATTATGATGCGCTCGATGTTTCAAATGAAAGATGCATTAGTAACTTTTTATATACCTAATTAATTTCTATTTAATAGTCTTTTTTTTTTAATTTATATACCTAAAAACGTTTAATTTCATTAAACGTTTTTAGGTATATAAATTAAAAAAAAAAAGACTATTAAATAGAAGTTATTTTATAGTAATGAAAATGTTATTATGAATCAAAACTAAAGATTTTAAAGTATTTCCATTACTTTAATACATATACTTTAAGTTCTTAAACTGGAAAAGATAAAGTTTCATCATAATTATCTGAGTCTTATTTTATAATTATTGTCAATATTTGAATGGAACTCGTTTTCTGACTCAGTTTCAAGGCTCTCTTTTTCTTTTGCAACTTTCATTTTCTTTTTTAAAATTTTTATGTTTTACCTTCCTTTTTAGCTTTTTCATTTAAGAACTTTTCTTCATAGCCAATTGTTTCTTTCTTAATCTTTCTTCTACTTTTGACTTTTTATGTACAGATTTTTATTTCTTTATTAATTTTTCATCCTTTATTTATAACTTTTCTCACACTTTTGTCGTTTTAATTTCAAACTGATGGTACTCTCCCCCCCCCCTCTCGTCCTTTATACAAGAGGGGGGGGGGAGAATAAAATATAAGTTTTGAAATATAAGTTTTAAAAATAGTTTTATCTTTGGCTTATTTTCAGGGTGGATACTCGAACTTGCATCTTGTAATGTTGTAAGATTTGTAAAGTTATGTCTCTTTTTAAATAAAAACAGTTTAAAATTATTTTAAATTTTTATTTAAATTGTTTTCAAGTTTGAATAAGAAGGAAGTGGTGGGGGGCGTTAGGCGTGGCACACGCCCCTCCTCCAACTAACATAATATAATAAT